AAATCTGCTCAGTTCCCTTTAGGACAGAGCCCAGAAGCTCCAGACACAACCTGGCTCAGGGACTCTGGTGCAATGCCAGGAGCTTGCAGCCCTTTCCAGGCTAACCCCCAAATGCCCTCTCACTTCAAGTCCCATCCTGTCTGATGTAAAGGCTGTGCTTGCAGCCAGCAAAGCCAGCATGGAAACAGAACCCGGAAAAATATTGTTGTCTGTGTAACCACATATTAGAAGCAGGCAGAAAAGGGATATTATAATCTGTTGGTGTCAACATACCCATTATGTTAAGGGTAACCCTGGCCCTTTATGAGTTGGTAGTTCCACAAGATTTGTGCAAACTATTCTCTCCACTGGTGAGAAACTCTTTCATGCTTCATTTGTGGAAGATACTTCAGGATAGGGTCTAGCCACTGGAAGGAGATGGCATTCACACAGAGCAAATGGATAGCCAGGCAGACCTAGGCTGTGCTGAGCAGCAAGCCGGGAAGAATATCAAGAAGTAGGTTCCAGCCAATGAAGAACACATTATGAGCAAACCCTGTCCAGGATCATCAGCAACAACACAAGATGTGATCAGGGTTTTATAGAAGGATGGAGGATACATAGTAAAAAGACTACACAAATTGATATTGCAGATGACCGTACTCTACCCTCAAGATACTCTGCTGGTATCAGAGGAAGAGACACTATATAAAATATTATCATGTGCGGAAATGGACAGGCTTACAATGGTATTGAAAGACAAATGTAGATCAGTTTATTTCGAAACCTGGGATAAATTTTACTGCTGGAGGGATTCGAGGAGGACGGTTGGGATTATAGGCTAACGTTAAGATAGAAATATATGTAATTTTAGGTTAGCAAATAGAGAAATAGATTAAGTATTGTATATAAAATTTAGATGTATATTTAGAGATGAAAAATCAATTGTAAAATGTGGAATAATTTGATAAGAATGTATATACTGGAATGTCACGTTATATCCAATGTTTCTTTTAACTGTATTATAAATAAAATTTTGTAAAAAAAAAAAAAAGATACTCTGCTGGTATGTTTATTTTTTCCCAGCCATTGAAAGCCTAACTGTATTTGAGGAAGAGAAGCTCATTTGCCTAAGCAAAGTGAGACTTACAACTTTCTACTTAAATTCAAATTCAAAGTGAGAAATGATCAAATGAATCAATACTTGCTATACAAGACATAAAGCCCCAAAGCCCCAAAATACTTAGAACTGCACAACCATGTCTGAAAATATATACGTTTTCAATGAAGGATGTGGAATGACTTGAAACAAGGCAATATTCTCGAGCAAGAAAACTATGTTGTAATCCTAGGCAATTATTCTTTGGAGTAACAAATGCATGGTTGACTTCTTCCAATGGTTTCATGCTGAAAAGCTTTGGGGAAAAGAATGGAAAAAGCAAAAAGGACAAAGGAGGTTTTTTGTACCATCTTCTCAAAAAGTTTCCTGGATAGAATTCAACAATTGGAATTCAGGCACACAAGCTCCATTCCGACAATATGAACTGGTAGTAGTATTGTATTATGTATGAATCACAAACGGTATCAGGAAAACCCATCGCTACCTCATTCCTCAAACCAATCCTAACTGAAACAACTATCTCACTTCACTTTACTATTATGTAGCAGTATACATACAGATAAAATCCCCCCCCCTCTCTCTCTCTCTCTGTGTGTGTGTGTGTGTGTGTGAGAGAGAGAGAGAGAGAGAGAGGAGAATTAAGACATCAGTCGCCAACTCTGTCCTTAGAAGTGTGTTCTCAACTGCACAATATCTGTATTTCTCACTTAAAGATTTTAATCCATTAGCAAGATAAATTTTGGGGATAAAATGAACATGCCAATTCTCAAGCAACAAATACACAATTCTAAAATTTCTTATCTAATTTCTTAGTGATTAGAAAATACTTATGGACTTTTTTGCTGAAAAAGAAAGAGAAAAATGAACATGAATTCTGGGTTTGAAGATCAGAAAGGCTTGTAGAAAGAAGAAAGTTGTGATGTAGTCTTAGAGAGGGTAAGGTATAATTTTGGGACTTTTCTGATATACATTGTCTATATTTTTTGTAATGTGGCATACACACACTGAGATTCAATTCACGCTGTATATAGACATAAGTAAAAAAACTTATGCTTCACCTAGACCAGACATGTCAAACACAAGGCCCGGGGAACGGATACGGCCCGCGAAGTGGTTTCATGTGGCCCGCGAAGCCATCCTGGAAACAGTGAGGGAATGGCCCCCTCTGCCTTGGCCCTGGCCCAGGCCAGCCAGGAGCCAATGTACAATTTTGTGGTGGCCATCTATGCTGAAACACATTCAGTCTTAGCTCCACAAGGCCCTCCAGAAACAGCGAGGAACCAGCCCCTGCCGCATCGGCCCCACCCCCTGGGTGCATGCTGGGGAGGTGTCACCCTTTGTGAGGAATGAAGAAATGCACCATGCCTTGGCGCTTGCCCTGGTCCCACCCCCTTCTGCCAGAGACCCTCAGATCTGTCCCACTCCTGCCCAGGCCCCCACAGGCACCCTTGACGTGAACGATATAGAGATGGCCATGCCCACCCAGTAGGCCACACCCACTCCATCCACACCCACCCAGTACGCTGCACCCACCCTGGCCACACCCACCCAGCCCCCCAAGGGCAACCGCAATGCTGATGCGGCCCTCAATGAAGTTGACTTTGACACCCCTGACCTATACCATACTGATTCAACCATTCCATTAAAGTAAATCTTCCAGAACAGGAAGTGGTGCATATTGTTCCATCTTAAACCTGCTTCTTTTTGTGCAAAAATTATCTCCAGAAAATGTTTGGCCTTCCTCAAAAACAGCTGGTAAAAATGGCTTAAGTAAATAATGGAATGTTCTGGTGTTCCACAGAATATTCTGTTCCTGCAATAATAATAGTCTGGTTTTGAATGTCCCTGTTATGCATGCATACCCATACAGAATCTTCAGATTGGTTTTGGCCAACATAGGGGAAGCTAAGCATGGGACAAGATTTTCCTATGGATTTTGTTAATCTTGGGGTTCTCATCTTAAATTCTGGGGTATCTTCCTTTTGGGTTAATGTAGAGGTTAATGCCAAGTAACTTAAAGCCTCCTGAGCAATGTTGAACTATTTACCTTATCCACATAGCCCATATCAGATAAAGCATGCAAGTTATAACTATTTCAAACTTTTTGAAATGCCTAAAAACTATTAATTTCTTTACATAACAATCTCACTAAACTGGTAAGCAGAATACTTCCAGACAGAGAAAGAGTTAGGAAATATGTATGCCGATGTACAAAAATAAGTCACCTTATCCTCTTTCTTTGAAAAGGAAGTACTCATCCACCCAAAAGCAATAATTCTCAAGTAATGATGATTTAAAAGAGATTTTTTTACTAAGTATAAGTGGCAGTTTTGGCAAGTCCTCATCACCTTTGAAGATGCTCAAGATTCAGTTAGGACTCACTTTCTTGATATATACACCAGTAAACCATATAAAGACCATTAAAATAATATCTGCTATTCTGTACTTAGCTTAAATAGCCAATTAACTCTTTCTCTTAGGCTTTTTTCTCTTATTGGTTTAATTTCAATACTTCTTCTAGGATTTAAAAATCTCAACAGCTTGTATATTTTTAAATTAAAGCTCAAGGCTGAGCTCTTTATTAAAGGATTAATTAAACGGAGATATCATGCAACGTAGTACCAATGAACAGTCCTGAAAAATAGAATGCTATAACTTCTATGCTTTGTTTTCATGCAAGTGTGTAAAGTTCAGGGACACTGACTACTCAGTACTTGCGCTGCTTCTATGAATTGCTTACACTACTCTGTTATGTGCAAGATTTGTATGGAATTATTTTCAGTTACCTTACTTTTTTAAACACAAAGGCAAGATAAACCAAGGTTTGTTAAACAAGTCATAATGTCCTAGCTTGCACATAACATTAAGCCGTAATAAGTGAATTTATGCATGCTACTAAATCATATTCCTCAACAAATTGCATTATGTCTTACTATAATACAGGAGCCTATCCTGAATGGTTAAGTTATCACATTAAAAATATGCACAGCTGAACTGGCCTCATCTATGCAGTGGTTAATGTACTGGAACAGAAACTGTAGGACCATGAGTTCCAGCCTTCCCTTAGGCACGAAAGCCCACCTCACAATTTTGCCTTGAATTGTATAAAATAAAGATGGCATATATACCTATTAATAATAATAACAACAATAATAATAATAAATAATCGTAATCAGAAATGGCAGCTGCTGTGCTCCAGCTCACTGCTATGTGCCTGTCCCAGGCCTTACTCATTGTTCCCAGAAGTACGTTGTTGCTTTCAGATATACCAGAAAATGCTGCCCCATTGCCTGTTCCAACCATATAACTCAGGGGTCTTCAAGCTTGGCCCTTTTAGGACTTGTGGACTTCAACTCCCAGAATTCCTCAGCCAGCATGCCTGGCTGAGGAATTCTGGGAGTTGAAGTCCACAAGTCCTAAAAGGGCCAAGTTTGAAGACCCCTGAAACAACTGAACAGTCAATGCCACCATTTTGCAGAATGGGAGAAGGTGCACCATGATCTTTTCCTCAGGCAGAAAAAATATGTGGTGCCGGCTTTGTGATAATATGTTATCAACTCGATTTTACCAACAATACACTAATCTTCTATCCAGAATTGACCAGCTTGCAACTTAAAAAGAATGAATCTCACAGAAAAAGAGGATATGGAGAGGTTTTCTCCCTCATTCCTCTTGCCTGTTCTGCAGAATGGAAACAAAATTCCGTATGTGCAAGATCAGATAGAGGAAGGAGGCATTTAAACGGTCCTTGCTGCAAGCTGATGCTAACAAAATTGAAATAGATATAAATAATAAATAACAATGATTTCCTGTCAAAGGTCTGTCATATACAATCTTTGAGGAACTGGACTCCTTTGTTTTTATCAGAAGCCTGCCATTAATGGGTCAGGATGAGCCTTACCTGCAGCCATAACTTGTTCTTCACTGCATCCCTTCCTGTAGCAATGCATTGAAATGTTGCATTCTGACCTGCATTGACCTCTACATCCCCCAGTCTCAAGAAATGAGGAGATTTATCTGCAGAGATAGGGAAAGCAAAAAAAGTACGTTCAGTCACATTTTTTTAAAAAAAAAAATCCCCCCAAAGATACAGAGGGAGAGGTAAAGCAAAAAAAGTTACCAAAGGGTATGCTCAGTCACATTTTTTAAAATTATTTTTCTCCCAAAGATACACATCACTGAGTCTTTGGGGCAAAAGAAATTCATACATGGAAGAAAAAATTGTTTTAGCTCAGTAAGAAGACCTGCCAAATAGGATGCGAAGAAATTGCAAATCTGAATGTGAATTTCAACGATATTCAATGTGAAACTACTGCATTAATAACACAAAGGATCATATTTAATTAGCTGTATGTTATGGTAGACTGAGGGAATGTTGAGTTCCTGTCAGTAAATATCATCTGCATCTCAGACATAGCATTGTTTGAGCCGGTGACAAACCTTTTTTATACTTTCTGCATTGCCTCAGGGAAAGCTCTGTGACAAAACTCTGTGTATGAAAAAAATTGGGTTCAAAAAGGCACTGACAGCAGATAAGGTATGGGTATATTATGTATTAAGGCAATGTTTCTCAACATTGGTGTTTCTCAATTTCAACCTCAATTTTAAGGTGTGTGTACTTCAGCTCCCAGAATTCCTCAGCCAGTCCATATATCTAGAGTTGCTGAGGTTGAAAAATATTGTATTAAGGTAAAGACTCTCTCAGGTAGTGACTACATGGAGATGTCCGCATAGGTTTTTTTTTTTTTTGCAAGAATGCAGATGCAGTTTGTCATGATCTTCTTCCAAATTTCTAGGGGGAAGGGGTGTGTTTTTTACTAGCTTGCAGCTTTGAAATTTCATACCCTATTCCTAAATTACCAAAGATTAGGGATAAGCAATTATGCTTAGTCTAGTTTCCACAAACTCAGTTTCACTTGTTATTGCACTCTTCCATAACATGCACTAATTATAATTAATTTCTTCAAGTCTGTCTGTGGGGCATCTTGGAAACTTCAAACAATTAAAACGTATAAACATCCAAAGGATGCCAGGTCCTAGAAGCACATTTCTCCAGAATTTTAGCTGCATTATAATATATTGCTAGTTTTGATGGCTAAATCAAAGACTTACCACTATGAACACGTTCTCGTTACTCAGTTATTTGAGTTATGGGGAACAGCACAATGGAGGTCGTTGACTGAGTAACAACATATCCCACCTCCCCCCATTCCGCCCCTGCTCTCCCTCCCCCCCACCATGTAGACACACACACACACATATACATATACATATACATATATATACACATACATACTGTACATAAATAAATAAATAAATAAATAAATAAATAAATAAATAAATACATGCATGCATGCATGCATACATACATACATACATACATACATACATACATACATACATATTATTTCTGTGGTTGTGAGCCACCCAATTACCTTATGGTAAGATAAGCGGCAAATAAATAAATAAATAAATAAATAAATAAATAAATAAATAAATAAATAAATAAATAAATAAATAAATAAAATATTGGGGACGAACTGATGTAATTTCCTTTGGCTCTGCTGGTGCATACAACCTGTCAGACTAAGGGCATACAAAACTAAAAAAAATGCCATATAGTCAGGACTATTTTCATTATAATAGCTACAGTAACAGAATCTGAATATGTCCTGCCCTCCCTTCCCCCTTTTATCTTTGTGTGAACTAGGGAAGGGCTTGCCTGAAATGTATACATAAGTTTGTTTCTTGGACTGGTTTGAAGTCCCACTTATCTGACCACTGCCATGGCAGGATCTGTTCCTCCTGTCCTTCAAGGCCTCTGCATTCAATGCAACCTGGGGGGTCTATATCCTCTGTCCCCCAAATTTTCAAAGACACGACCCCAAATACAGCAATAACTGCAGTAGAGAAACCATATCCGAAAACAGAAATTTTTCAGAACTGTCACAATGCTTTTTTAAAATAGGATTGACAAACTGTTGTTACCTGCTTTTATTATTGGGAGTAAAATGAATTTTAAAAAATCCAGCTCACAATAAACTATTAGACACCCTTTATTTCACTTTAATTACAGTCCATTAAGGGTGAGAGAGAATCGCTGAATTGAAATAATAATGTGATAACAAAATAACATTTATGACTTTGACATTCTCATTTCCTTTTTCTAACAGAAGAAAAAACAGTGGTAGCAGCAAGACACCAATGACTTAAGTAATGAAAACGCCAGTCTGACAATATTGACCCTCTCTTAGAAAAGACAAAGAAAAGTGTGCCTCTTAATCATTACTTACCACAAGGGTAGCTCAGAACCTGGATGTCATCGATGGCAATGTAGCCATTTCTCCCATCTGAGACTTCAGCCTCAAATATTACCTGTCAAGGAGAAAGAAGAAATGTTTACAACATACACTGCAAAGGAATTCCCACTGGTCTGGAGTGAGGAGTGCATTTTCTCATTAAAGCCAAACGTTCTGCTGTGTTTCACGAACAGATTTAATCATGTTCACTGCTCTTTGTTTATTCAAAGATAAGTTCTTAATTAATACTTGTCAATGTTCACGTTTCAAGGGTCTGTTACACAGAATTTACCACTTTAAAAAGAGCCAGAGTTTCCAGGTGAAAGAGACAATGATTTTTCAGCTTTTTCAGGATATCCTCTAGGAGACAAGTCTTCCACAGTGACAGTGAAAGTAAAAACCGAATTTGCCTGCAGCTATCTTTATTCTTTGCTAAGCATGTGATAAAACTGTCACACAAGAAATAATGAAGGCATAGGTATTATACTATGGGCAGTAGCTTGGAATTACTATCTACTATGAATGGTCCTGATATGCCTCCGACTAGCAAGGACTAAAAATTTTCATGAAAAAGTAAGGGTGCATATTTAGGTGATGTTCCTTAGGAATTTCGTGGGAAGAATGGACAATTTTTACCTATAACACCATCTCCCCATGCTATTTTGGCAAATGCCCTGGCCCTCTTGTAGAGCTTTTTAGAGGACAGAAAGTAGAAAGAAGAACTGGCCAAAATGTCTCCTCCTCATCCTTTTCTCCTTCTAAGATATTTCTATGGCTAAAGTTTTATCACACCATATTAAAGTTTATCACATACAACTTAGATCTATCCTAATGTAACACCTGTTCTGAAAACTTAATGGGCTGTATATACCACTCTGATAGCCTCTATTTATCCCTTCTTTCAACTACTGAGCACCAGGGCCCAGATATCTCCTAAAAATTAATGTGCTGTACATTATCATTCAAGTACAAAGAAGATCTGTAAGTTTAATTTTTGGTAGAGGGTTTGAACCCACAGTACAACATCTGGCTATTGCCTAACAATCCCCAATAATGATGAAACTGATAATGTGATGCCTACTGGTAGAAATGTAACCCATTATATTTAGATTTTATTTATTTATTTATTTATTTATTTAGTGAATAAACTGGGGGTAGCGTTGATGCACACTTTTTTGTTATTTAAGTAAGCAATTCTTCTTTTACTGGAAAGAATCTTTGTTGTAAACATTTTAATTAATCACAGTCTTATCAAAATATATTATTTGCTACATCAATAAATACTTTTATTGAGCTAATCAGGCACTCTCTGCCACCAGAAGGCAGGAGAAGCAGCAATGGATGGAAACTAATCAAGGAGAGAACCAACCTAGAACTAAGGAGAAATTTCCTGACAACAAGAATGATTAACCAGTGGAACAGCTTGCCTTCAGAAATTGAGGGTGCTCCATTAGTGGAGGTTTTTAAGAAATTGGACAGTCATTTGTCCAGAATGGTATAGGGCATGATGATATACATTGTCTTGGGCAGCAGGTGGCTCATTTGCATATGCATGTGAGTGCCAGCCTTGCCAGTGCACATGGCCTGATTGTGCATGCGCTAGCACCTCCATGCACATACCCATTTGCGCATGTGCGCACACGTGCAGGCATGCACATTTCCCTGCTCCTCCCTTTTCCTCCGGCCGCCAACCCGGAAAGGTTGGGGACCTTTTGTATAGGGTCTCCTGCTTGTGCATGGGGTTGGACTAGAAGACCTCCAAGGTCTCTTCCAACTCTGTTATTCTGTTATGTAAATGATACAGACAATGACCCCAAAAAGAGAGAGGGAAATCATTATTCGGTATAATCTAAGCTTAACATATCCTACTATGCTAAGGAAGGAAGGAAGGAAGGAAGGAAGGAAGCAGATATGAACAGTATTCTCTTATTCTCAAATAGATAGTGCTAAATTAAATGAAAGTGAGTCCTTCCACCACTTATCAGAATCCAGAGAAAACAAACATTGACAAATAAATTGTTGGTCTTTTGACAAGGCTTACATTTGTAATGAAGAGAAGGGAGGTATTCCCCTTTTCACAACAGAAGTGTTTTATTTTTTAAAAAATAACCATGTTGCTATGACCATATTATTTTAGCAACTAATTGATAATTGATAGTATACAGAAAGCAATTTATGCAATCATAAAATGATCTATACAAATTAGGTGAACACATACATGTGGAGAGAGGTAGAATAACAGTTGGATGCCTCATAGTGTCAGCCCATTAGAAATGCTATTTTGCTCTTTGGGAAATCTCACATAAAAAGGATTATTTAAACAAATAAATGTGTTTTAGATAAGAAACAAATTAGGATGCTCACAGTCTAGAACTGCATGGTAAAAATAATCAGCTTTATATACCACTTAATGAATAATCTTTTACTTCTCAAAGGTTTATTTCCTCTCCTTGCAATCACTTTGTTCCAAAGAAATTCCATTTTAATTCACAGTTCTAGCCCATAGAATAACCATGAAGAAAACCATATAGTATATTTATTGTAATCTTTTAACTTGGTTAACTGATAAAATCTAGAGGGTCACTGCAAAACTGGAAAATATAAAAGGGTAATCATATAGAGAAACAAGTTCCTAAGCAAGCAAACATCGTTGTAGTGCCATAAATCAATGTTTTGGCCATAGAACGGAGAATCCATTTACATTATCCAGCTGCCAAATTGCATTCTAAAGAATAATATTACACAGAATTTTCCCAGAGAGGGGCCCAGATTAAGAGACTGCACAGTCTCAAACTGGATGACATAAACCTAGATATAAATTCACTATCCAATTCCTGACACTTCTGTTCCCGATTTCTTTTCTTTTTAATAAATCTGATTAGGGAAGCCTCAGTGAGAATATTGTCAGATGTAATCACCTTGATAACAAAATCCTAAATTCTTGTCCACCTTGCATATTCCATAAGCTTATTTGCTCAATTCTTGATTCCTTCAAATGAACTGTTTCCTGTTGTTCTACAATAATCTGATTGTGTCCATGTTTCTTTATGGGAATAAAAAACAATCATTCTATATCTCTTCTCTGATATTGTGAACACTATATAACAACATACTAAGTCCAATGTTGCAATGATCTTTAATTAGGGTTGAAAGACAGGAAGAGATATAGCCAACATTGAAAGCAAATAGGGCTCTGTGGCCATTATTGTTACACTATATAACAACATACTAGGCCCAATGTTAGTTTGTGGCCATTGTGACAACAGGATATTTTAAGGTGTGAAAGGCTTTGGAATGTATGGGTTGCATACAAAATATGCATCAATAGAAAAACTATTAAATTTGGAGAAGCAGAAGAGTCTATTTGAAGGTGGACATAGAAACTGATATTACTAGTTTGTTCTACAAAACTAGCTTATAGAATCAAATCAGCACTTCTGAAATAAATTTCAGTTCCACTTCCCTGTATGACCAATAAATGGCTCTGACCAACAAATGTTTCCTCTTTTTGTCCTTGCAATTTATTTTCCCCTTGCTAAGCTCTAGTATACATCATTAAGATGAGTAGAAAGGCAGAATTCAGAACTGTCCAAAACTTAATAGTCCTTATCATTTTAGCAGATCATTCAGCTGGCATATCATTTTGTCCTGTTCAACTACAGGAAGACATGGATTCTTGCTAGCTTAATTATCTGAAACTTGAGCTGAAATGTAGGTCACTCCTAATATCTGGAGTCAAGAACGTTAAAGAATTGGATGCAGAAGGAACAGCTGTCCCAGCAACATAGAAGAAAACTTAGATATCAGCTTGGAAGTAAAATGAATTGTACTTTATGCTATTGTTTCTCTCATTCTGCTTAGCTGAAATCCTAATGCATTCTGATTCATGAAGCTCCAGATTCATTTCTGGTAAAGTGGTTTTTATAATTAAATGAAGGACTTACTAGATCAAATTGTTTCTCGTTCTTTACATTAAAAAATATAATATAGGAACATATAAGTAATTCTACGTATGTTAATATATTTCTTTGATATCAGAAATAGAAGATATTCTGTATTGAGAACCTGGAAAGGGTAACTAAAATACTGTAAGTAAATACAAAAAGTTAATTATTTTTTCAATTTTATCTCTTTTATAAATGTAAAAATAAAATCACATTAGTTACTGTACTCAGAAGGCTGTAATTTTATATTGTCTATTTCTATACCTGTAGAATCTATGGAGATTGAAGAAGGAATTCAATGGCTATTATATAAACAGCATCTTAGCCAGGATAGATAGTGTGAAGAAAAAAAATTCAAGATTTTCCTGCCTTGATTCTCTTTAGTAGAAAAAGAGTTATAAATCTCTGCCAAGTTTTAAGCCTCTGTCATTATAACCTATAACAATAAAATAATTTTATGTAGTGTCTCTCCTCCGAATTGGCTTACGTTGAATGGCTGACAACTATTTCCACCAGCTATTGTATTACCAGGGAGATGGTTTAGGTTCAGTGTTAAAGATGCAAAGTAAGGGAAGAAAGACCAAATATAACCACTAGCACTTAGCAGAATAAGATACTTTAAAGCAGAGTTCCCCAACTTTTCCGACTTTGTGGACTCTGGGGGGGGAGAGGGGATGCTTCTGGCCGAGCAGCAGGCAAGTGTGTAGCTCCATTTGTGCGAGTAGCAGGCAAGTGGGCAAATATGCAGCCTGCCACTTGGAGCATGTCCACACGTGCTCGTCCTCTGTGCCCTAAATGGGGATGCGCAGAAGTGCGTGTTTACCGGCTGCTTTGGGTGGCCGGATTCTGAACAGCTTATGGTCCGGTTAGGGACCCCTGCTTTAAAGCATAAAATATTATGCTATTGTGTATTTTAGACCTAATGGACTTTTATTATACCTGTCTGCAACACAGAGATCTTTTAAGAAAGAGACACTTCCGTAATGATAAATCTGATAAATAATTTTGACACTGAAGGAGAATAGGTGGTAAAAGCATCTCAGTGGGGACCCTCCTTAGTTTTAGGGGAACATAGAGTAAAGGAGTTTTAGGGGAACATAAGAGTAAAGGAGTGAGAAATATTTCTAGATTT